TAACAGGATAAGAGGAGATTGTTATTTAGGGCGAGATAAATAGATAGACCATTCTATTTGGTTCCTGATTTCGCCTTCATGCCATCTTGCGAAAGATTTGGGTGATCTACTGAGGAATCGGAGCATTAAAAAACATATCAAGAGAAATTAGAACTTTCTTCAAACGTGACTTCTTTTCGAGAATTTTCTAGACCAGGCTGCTGCAAGGTTTTTTGCTCATGATAATCTATATGTGAGGGAGGCCTGCCGACCCATCTAGAAGAGACTTTACGAACAGTAAACCGCTTGTAAAGGCCTATGGGTCCAAAATCTGACCTTGCTGAGCACATGGCTTATATAGGACACTCAATAGGCTGGTCCAAAACACTGTTTTGTTGGTTAAGGGCACTTCACATCCAATTCTAAGATTAAGCTATATAGCTATGACGCATCTCTCATGACGTGAATGTTATATACCCACAATAGTCAATAACACAATCCCAAATATGATTCAACATTAGAGGAACATACACTAGTTCAATTGTGCAACGAGACAAATCAAATCATGGAATGCCTCATCAAGATCGCAAGGTTAGGTGTATAAAAAATGGTGACTAGGGTTGCAGCTGGCTATCCTCTGGTACTTTTTGATTTCTCATAATGTATGAAGTCTTATTCTGATGATGTTTGTCACGGCACAGACTAAAGCTTAGCACAGGTTCATCGGAGTCGCAGGATGATGAGTAGAGAAATTCTTCACACAATTTCCGCGACTTTCCTCGGTTTCAGATGAGACCATTTCACGAATTCCTTACAACCAACTTTCCCTTCAAAATGCAGTCATCATAATTCTTTCCATTCATTTAATCCAATTTAGACTCTGTTTTGGGATCAGACTTTTCATGCAGTTGCTTTCACTATCACAAGCGGCGTCTATCGAGGCAGTCTATTTTAGCTTCCACAATTTCCTTGGTCAGCGACATTTTAGGGGTTATTTTTCACTTCATACACAGACTACATGGCTGTCATGCCACATGACAGACATCATCAGAGCACGAGACCTTTATTTACGAAAATAAGCATCTATACACAAAACTAAGCTAGGTATCCGGCTACAATCAACTCACTTCTTATACCTTATTTTGCTATCGTAATGAGTCGAATCCCGATTTGTTTAGCAACTGCATGCTTATCTCACATGTCTGCAGATGATGTGAATATGGTCACAGCTTTTTCCTTAAATAGATAAACTTCCGCTTGACCCTACAATGCTGACACGGGGTTTAGATGTATAGGGGTACTTGTGTGTATCAAAGTTTAGACGAATCTTATTGGATTTTTAAAATTGGCCTGATCTCTTGCAACTTGCTCGTTGTGTCAATGTGAGCTCGAGGGCCGAACAAACTATCGCCATTTTTCCGGTAATTGACTCTGCTGATAGAAAGTGTGGAGTTTGTGTTGGTGTTTAATGTGCTAACATCTATTGCCTCTGGCCATTGACTTGCAGATTTTCCATCGAGCTACAATGCTTCAGAGGCAAGTTGTGGATGGTCGCTAAGTGGGGAATAATTCATTGGCAATGCCGTCTAACACCTCGG